CGGCGCGTGATCAAGGATTGCCACGTGAACAGAACGTGGCAATCCGTTGCCGGCACGGCCCGTGAGCAAGGATTGCCACGTGAACAGAACGTACACGCACACATATATGCGCACACACATGCACAACAGCACGCACACACACACGCACAACAGCACGCACACACACACGCCGGTAAAACGACGAAATGTCAGCGCACCCGTGTGAGTGTGGGGTTTGTGGCCGAAGGAAACCTCGTCCCGGCCGCCTTTGTCTCCCTCCTCCCCCCCCCAGCCGCTGCTGGTGTTTGACGTGCCGCGCCAGGTACTCTGCTCGTTTAAGGCTGAGTCGACCTGATGTCGTTCGCGAGCTGGAATCAGAAACGCGGATTCCGCCGTGTTCGTAGTGCAGCGCGGCTGACCAATGCCCCACCGCTCATAGGCAAAGATCCCCCGTGTAGCCTCGATGGACTGTTGGGGCAAGTGCTGTTAGCGGACGGCACGAGGGGGGCAGGCGGCCACCACCACGGCCCCGTCCACCTTTGTCTCCCCGGTGACGATGTCAACCACGCGCCGCACCGGGTGCTCATTCGAGGCCGAGTCAACATAGGGGAGGCCCGGGACCGCTGACGCTTGCGGCTGTCGCTGAGCGGGTTAATCGGAACTCGGGCCACCGGGCTCGCAGTGCAAGCACGCTAATCGTTGCGCCACCGCTCTCCACAGCACCACGCCCGGTCCTCCTTGCTCTTCCTCCGACAGCATCGGGTCCCTCGCCCACCGCTCCACTCATCCATCCAAAAGCGTGGCGCCGAGGCTGTATCCAGGGAGATGGTTGCCGCGGCGCCCGTTGTCGTGGCGACGGTTGCCGAGGAACCGACTCGGCTCCGCGCTCTGCCTGGAAACGCGCGGAGGGTGTTGAGCACCTGGGTGGGTTTACGTGCTCGCTAACAGCACTTGCCCCTACAGTCTGTTAAGGCTACACGGGGGAACTTTGTCTTTGTGTGAGAGAGCGGTGGTGCAGCGGTTAGCGCTCCGTTCCGCTATGAACCCGGCGACCCGAGTTCGATTCACGCTGAACCGGTCCTGGGTCTCCCCTAGGTCGACTCAGACTCAAATGAGTACCTGGTTCGGTGTGTAAAACCTCACAACTGGGGATACAAAGGTGGCCGGGCGTGGTGCTGGCCACACCCCCCCCCCCCCCCTCGTGTGCCGTGCCGGCCTTCATAACTGCTGCTCGATAACTGCACTTGCCCCAACAGCCTGTTAAGGGTTATACGGGGGATCTTTGTCATCTTTTTGGTGTGAGCGAATGTGTGAAGCATGGGGAGTGTGGGAGTGGGAGAGAGGGGGAGGGGGTCAGAGAATGAGAGAGGGAGTGAGAGAGAGAATGAGTGAGGGAATGAGTTGCTCCGGCAGTACATATACTAAAATTGGAACGTCACAGAGAAGATTAGCATGGCCCCGGCGGAAGAATGGCACGCAAATTCGTGAAGCGTTAAATAAATGAGAGAGGGGGTGAGAGAATGAGAGGGAGTGATAGAGAGAAGGAGTGAAAAAAAAACCGAAATGATGAACGAAGCAAAGTGCCGACTACACCGAGCATCTTCTTGATTCCTCTGATCGTGAAAAAAAGAGAGAGGGGGTGAGAGAAGGAGAGGAAGGGAGGGAGTGTGAGAGAGAAAAGGAGTGAGAGAGGAGGGAGGGAGTGAGAGCGAGAGAAGGAAATAAAAAAATGAAGAAAAAAAAGATAGGAGAGAGTGTGAGAGAGAGCGAAGGAGGGGTGGGGGATTGCTTGAGAGAGTGAGAGACGGGGAGGGAGGGAGGCTGGGCGAGGGAATGAGAGTGGGGTCCTTCGTTGCTGCTGCCTCAAAGCACTCGAGCGAGAGAGGGGGCTACACGGGGGGGGGCGGGGGGGGCGATCTTGGGCTTCGCGAGTTTGTATGCGAGGGAGAGCATCGTGTGTGCTGTGCGATGAGCGGTGGCGCAGTGGTTAGCGCACTGCGCTTTACGACCCGCGTTCGATTTGCCGTTCGCGGCCAACACCGGCGGCGATTGTCTGAAGCGGTCCTGAGTCTCCCCTAGGTCGACTCGGCCTCAAATCATCACCTGCTTCTGGGTAAAACATCGCCGCTCGGGAGACAAAGGCGGCCGGGCGTGGTGCTGGCCACCCACCCCCCCTCGTGTTCCGTGCCGGCCCTTTGTGTTATTCTTGCCTGCGACCGACTCGTCGTGAGAATTATTTAATGATATTTTATTTTTATTATTTTATTATTTCCATTCTACGTGACTTTACCGAAAGAACCAATAAAATGCATCCGATGTCGTGAGAGCGCCTGAAGCTAAGCCGGCCTGAGCTTGGACAGTGCTTGGATGGGTGGCTCTGAGACCCAACGGGTGCTTTCGGCTCTTACGGGAGAAAGTTGGTGACGCGACTCGCCACTCACGTCAGCTGTTAGTTAGTGGCAGTGTGTGCCCACACGCCGTGCCACCGCTCCCCATGTTTTTGTCTACATAAAAAATTTAACTATTTTTTTTTTACCAGGTCAGGGGTCCCGCTGAGCTATGAGCTCCCTTTGCACAAGCGAGCCGGCCATCGTAAATGATAACATAACGGAGTATCGTTATCGTCGTCGTCATCATCGTCATAATCATCGTCATCATCATCATCGTCGTCGTCGTCATCGTCGTCATCATTATCGTCGTCGTCGTCGTCATCGTCATCATCATCGTCGTCGTCGTCGTGAAATGTATAGCAGCGGCCAAATACTCGAAACGCGCGACGTTGATGCTCAACGTGGAAAGAAAATCCACGCGACCACGGGGAGAGACACACGCAAACTCCAAATATACAGCAGCAGGCGTCATGGTCGGGATCGAACCCACGACCTCCTGTATACCAGGCGAGGTAGTTAACATCTCCTAGCCACCGTGATGATGATGATGAGAGAGAGAGACGCAAACTCCAAATATACAGCAGGTGTCAGGGTCGGGATCGAACCCATGACCTCCTGCATACCTGGCGAGGTAGTTAACATCTCCTAGCCACCGTGACAACAACGCAACTCCCCTCTCATCGTCATTTGCTTTGTCCCACTCTCCTGACGGCCGCCTCTTTAACTCGCGATTCTCCGATTCACTCGTCGGGGATTTTGGCCGCGTCGCTTGGCTTTGTGATGGGCGAATTGGTCCAGCGGCCTTGCTGCACAAAGAGTCTTTGAAGCTACTTTCAAAATATACTTTCTGTTATTTTTAATCAATTGAATCCGGGCAAAAGTAATCGATATCGGCAGAGAGAGAGGCTCTCATCGGCTAAGGCTTGAGATCCTTTTATCCGTTTAGAAATCTGCGGAAGTTCTCAAGGTGAGGCGCGCGCGGTTGAGAGCTTTGTTGATGTTTAGAAATCTGCGGAAGTTCCCAAGGTGAGGCGCTCGCGGTTGAGAGCTTTGTTGATGTTTAGAAATCTGCGGAAGTTCTCAATGTGAGGCGCTCGCGGTTGAGAGTTTTGTTGCTGTTTAGAAATCTGCGGAAGTTCTCAATGTGAGGCGCTCGCGGTTGAGAGCTTTGTTGATGTTTAGAAATCTGCGGAAGTTCCCAAGGTGAGTCGCTCGTGGTTGAGAGCTTTGTTGATGTTTAGAAATCTGCGGAAGTTCCCAAGGTGAGGCGCTCGCGGTTGAGAGCTTTGTTGCTGTTTAGAAATCTGCGGAAGTTCCCAGGAGGGACGCTCACAGTTGGCAGGAGACTCGTGCCAACCCGACTCATTGCCTGGTTTCCCTTTGGTGTCCACGTTTATGATGCGCTAACTACCTCGCGTGGTGTGCAGGAGGTCGTGGGTTCGATTCCGACCCTGATTCCTGCTGTATATTTGGAGTTTGGGGTGTCTCTCTCTCTCATCATCATCACGGTGGCTAGGAGATGTTAACTACCTTCGCCTGGTGTGCAGGAGGTCGTGGGTTCGATCCCGACCCTGACGCCTGCTGTATATTTGGAGTTTGCGTGTCTCTCTCTCATCGTCATCACGGTAGCTAGGAGATGTTGACTACCTCGCCTGGTATGCAGGAGGTCGTGGGTTCGACCCCGACCCTGATTCCTGCTGTATATTTGGAGTTTGTGGTTGTCTCTCTCTCTCTCCCCGCGTGGATTTTTCTCCAGATCCTCCGGGTTTTCCCTCCACATTTAGAATCAACGTCACGCGTTTAGAGTATTAGGTTGCTCTACATTTCTACAGGATGATGATAAGCCCACTTTGTTGAGCTATCATTAGTTTGTGCGCATGCGCATGAGTGCGTGTGTGTGTGTGCGTGCGTGAGTGTGTGCGTGCGTGAGTGTGTGTCTGTGTGTGCGTGCGTGTGTGCGTGTGTCTGTGTGTGTGTCTGTGTGCGTGTGTCTGTGTGCGTGCGTCAGTGTGTGCGTGCGTGAGTGTGTGCGTGCGTGAGTGTGTGTGTCTGTGTGAGTGTATGCGTGTACGTGCGTGAGTGTGTGTGCGTGAGTGTGCGTGTGCGTGCGTGAGTGTGTGTGCGTGTGTGTGTGCGTGCGTGAGTGTGTGTGTGTGTGCGCTGCACAACGCACCGGGCGACTCGAGTTTTATTCCCGCCCACGGCCAGATTACTTAAACTGGCTCTGGGCCTCCCTTAGCTCGACTCAGCCTGAAAATGAGTACCTGGTGCAGTGTGTAAATATCGCCACTGGGGAGACAAAGGCGGCCGGGCGTGGTGCTGGCCACCCACCTCCTCGTGTGCTGTGCTGGCCTTCACAGGTGCTACTCGCTAACAGCACTTGCCCCAACAGTCTGTTGAGGCTCTGCGGGGGATCTTTGTCTTTGTGTGTGCATGTGTGTGAGCTCGAGTCAACAGTGCCATGTTATTCAAAGAGTCACTTTGACTGTGATAACTCAATTGTGAACTCTGACCTCTCTCTCTGTCCTCCCGTCCGCCCCCCTCCCACGCATGCCCCCCCCCCCGCATGCCCCCCCCCTCCGCATGCCCCCCCCCCTCCGCATGCCCCCCCCCTCACCCGTGGCCCTCCAGCCATGCGGGTATCTGGCTCACCCCATCCCCTACAGTGACATTGAAGACATCCATGTGGTCGCGTGGGAGAACTCACCCAAGTACTGCCTCAAACTCACCGTCACGCGTGGCACCGTGCTGCTGCAGGTGAGGGCTCCTGGGTCGTGGGTGGGTGGGTGAGTGGGTGAGTGAGTGGGTGAGTGGATGGGTGGGTGAGTGAGTGGGTGGGTGAGTGAGTGAGTGAGTGGGTGAGTGAGTGAGTGAGTGGGTGAGTGAGTGGGTGGGTGGGTTGGTGGGTGAGTGGGTGGCTGGGTGAGTGAGTGAGTGGGTGAGTGGGTGGCTGGGTGAGTGAATGAGTGAATGGGTTGGTGAGTGTGTGAGTGGGTGGGTGAGTGAGTGCGTGGGTGGGTGGGTGAGTGGGTGGTAGGATGAGTGGGTCGGCAAATGAATTGGTACCTGGTCAACGTGCAACGTTCAGACCGACGTTGGCATGTAGTTGGGAACGCTGGACCAACGTTCGTCCAACGTTCCCTGTGTACTGAGTAGGTAGGTGGGTGAGTGGATAGGTAGGTGAGTGGATGGGTAGGTGGGTGGGTGCGTAATTGGTGAGAGAATGAGAGAGGTGATGAGAGAAGGAGGGAGGGAGTTGGAGAATGTATTGTATGGATAGATGGGCAGTTGTTTGGGGTAGGTAGGTCAGATGATGGCTCTCTATGTGTGGCTGAATGGGTGGATGTGGGTGAGTGCATGGGCGGTTGGGTGGGTAGGTGGGTGAGTGGCTGGGTGGGTAGGTGGGTGAGTGGCTGGGTGGGTAGGTGGGTGAGTGGCTGGGTGGATAGGTGGGTGAGTGGCTGGGTGGGTAGGTGGGTGGGTAGGTGGGTGAGTGGCTGGGTGGATGGGTAGGTGGGTGAGTGACTGGGTGGATGGGTAGGTGGGTGAGTGGCTGGGTAGGTGGGTGAGTGGCTGGGTGGGTAGGTGGGTGAGTGGCTGGGTGGATGGGTAGGTGGGTGAGTGGTTGGGTGGATGGGTAGGTGGGTGAGTGGCTGGGTAGGTGGGTAGGTGGGTGAGTGGCTGGGTGGATGGGTAGGTTGGTGAGTGGCTGGGTGGATGGGTAGGTGGGTGAGTGGCTGGGTGGATAGGTAGGTGGGTGAGTGGCTGGGTGGGTAGGTGGGTGAGTGGCTGGGTGGATGGGTAGGTGGGTGAGTGGCTGGGTGGATGGGTGAGCAGTCTGGCTGGGTGCAGGTGGGTGGTTTTCTGGTTGGGTGAGTGGTTGAGTGGCTTTATGAATGGCTGATTGGAGAATAGATTGGCTGTGTGGCTGGCTAGATTTTCCGGGAGAGTAGATGGGCCAGTGAATTTATGAATGGTCGATTGGCTATTTGGTGAGTGGGCGGCCGAGTGAGTGGGTGGCTTTTATTAATAGTTAATTTGCTAAATGGGTTGACTCAGTAGGCTTGTGGTTGTACCTATGCTTGATTGTTTGGCTAACAATTATTCATTGCTTGAACCGTGTCCTCTCTGCCGTGTGTATTTGTCCTCTGTATTTGCTTCCCATCTCTCCTTACAAAAGAGCCTGACTCTCTCTCCTCTCTCAAGGCTGTCTAAGTCACACTCACTACAGCACCACAACCCGAAAACAGAGATTCCACGTGTAGCCTCAACAGACTGTTGGAGCAAGTGCTGTTAGCGAGTAGCACCTATGAAGGCCGGCACGGTACACGAGGGGGTGGGTGGCCAGCACCACGCCCGGCCGCATTTGTCTCCCCAGTGGCGATGTTAACACACCGCACCACGTATTCGTTTTCAGGCCGAGTTGACCTAGGGGAGGCCCAGGACCGGTTCAGATAAAATCGTCACTGGTGTTGGCCGTGAGCGGGAATCTTTGTTTCTGTGTCTTTGTGTGTGAACCCAAATGGCGTCAACACCATGACAACCACCTCCTACACGCCGCAACATTTCCATGCGCGTTTTCACGAGTGACTAACAGCGTTTATCGCACTTTTTTACCTTGCCTGCTCACCTGTAACCAGAGGTCGAAAACGGGTTTTGATTGCTTACCCGTACCCGTACCCGGCCGCACCAGGGTCACGAATGGGTACCTGTTCCCTACCCGTACCCTACCCGAAATGAGTGACAAACGGTTACTCACCAGTGACTCATGGTCTACCCGTACCCGGCCGGGTACGGGTAGCCGGGTATCGGGTAGGGTACGGGTATCGGGTACCCGGTTGCGACCTCTGCCTGTAACACCTGGAACGCCTCCACAGTCCAACTCCCCCACCGCCACTCCCCCCGCTCCCCCAGCCCCTCCCCCCCGCCCCACTTTTGCCATGTGCTCATACACGGGACACTCACTACTTCCGGTTTGCCACACACGCGAATACATTGTGACATGTTTACATGCTACAATTCCACGCACTCACGAACGCCAAGAAGCAGAGCACAGCATTGCTGCCTCAGCTGCAATGCTGTGCTCCAACAGCTAATGACACTCACTCCTTCACAGCAAACATCAAGGCATCATGCTACCAGTGCTGATATGCCTGCACCTACAGCGAATGCAACGAACTCGTCAACAGCAGGAAGCAAACCAATGGCTGCAGCCACAGCGAACCAACTTTTCCAGCTCACCAACAAGGAAGGCAGCTTGCAAACAGCACCAAAACATCCGCAACCAAGTGCCTACCCTGCAGACAAACGCAAAAGTCTGCTGTGCCGTTCATTGCTCACTTAATTTACACTTCTGATCCATTAGTTGCCGTTGGTTGCATGTCTAATTCTTGCAGCTACTTCCATGCAATTTGGGGCCGTCCATAAATGACGTCACGCACCTAGGGGGGGGGTGGGGTCAGACATTTGTGACGATGTGTCACGAGGGGGCGGGGGGTTTGAGAAATGTGACGTCAAATCAAAATGCGGAACTCTAAATTAACATAGACAACACGTTCTACTTAATTAAATAGACTTTTTAATAAATGTTTTCTCCTACAACATCAGAGTGCAGCGCCACATTAAATACGCACTACAATGACAATAATTTAAAGAGATTTGTAGCATGTTTTATTTTTTGGGGGGGGGGGGCAGAGCTTTGTGACGTCATATTTGAGGGGGGGGGGGGGGTTTGACTTTTTGTGACGCCGCGTGATGAAGGGGGTGGGGGGTCAAAAAATCGTCCAAAATCGCGTGACGTCATTTATGGACGGCCCCTTACACGAAAAGGGGAACTTCCAGGGCTACGCTGCAACAGTGTCAAGGTTCAGCTGCCTGCAATTAATGACCATCCCGAGCCTGTCCGTGTAATGCTCACGGCCAACGCTAACTATGCATTCTAGATTTGAAGCTTTCGTGACTGCAAGGATTCATACTCTTAGTTCTTTCGGTAAAGTCACGTAGGTAAAAAATGAAATTAAAATAAAACGGTAAAAAAATCACGACGTTTCGGAGGCAACACAAGTCTCCGTCATCAGGTGGGACCGTCACAGCCAGATTAGCTGCAGCTAATCTGGCTGTGACGGAGACTTGTGTTGCCTCCGAAACGTCGTGATTTTTATTGTTTTATTTTAATTTTAATTTCATTTTTTACCTACGTGACTTTACCGAAAGAACTAAGAGTATGCTAACTATGCAAGCCATTTCCAAAAGAACAATAGAAACTAGAACTTATGCTTCCAAATGACATCCCTTGGCACCCAACCAACTGATCCCAACGTCTGACTACATGCCCCTAAATTCAAGTGCAGGGCCAGGTGGTACATCACCGCATTGGCAGTCCGCCGCCGCTACCTAATGACCTCCCTGCATTACCGCAGGTCTACTTCGTGTCCGACAGTGCTGGACATTGTCGCGAACGCCAACATGCAGATCCCGTTTGCCTGTCGCAAAACGCGCCCCGCAAGGCAAACTCCTCCGCTCGCAGTGTCACGTGCGCCATGCAGAAGGTGACGGTGTTGCAGAGGTCGCAAACGGGTTTTGATTCCTTACCCGTACCCGTTCCCGGCCACACCAGGGTCGCAAACGGGTACCCTACCCGTACCCGGCCGGGTACGGGTAGGGTATGGGTATCGGGTACCTGATTGCGACCTCTGGGATGAAGCCATGTTGCAGGCGCGGGTGGGTTGATTCTAGGAACTTGAATTGTGAGAAGAGACAAGACGTTGGGAAATGAGTGACAAACGGTTACTCACCAGTGACTCACGGTCTACCCGTACCCGTACCCGGCCGCACCAGGGTCGCAAATGGGTACCCGTACCCGGCCGGGTACGGGTAGCCGGGTATCGGGTAGGGTACGGGTATCGGGTACTCGGTTGCGACCTCTGCGGTGTTGCCATCCGTGCGGACAAAAACTCCACGCGGTCAACATGAGCGTCGCTTCAATGCGCCCGCGACATTTGACGTCGCTGCTGTCCTGCCTGCCGAACGATATGGCGCTGGAGACATCGCCTCGTATCCTGAAGGAGAATACCCTGCAGAGAATTGCCGATACACACCGATCATCCGGTGCTCTTCTTCAATGTCCACTGATTTTCCGGCAAAGGTGATGACGATGGCTACCATTTGCTACTTCGGCCAAACTGACCCGGCAACAGGCTTGCCAACACAAAAGAAGATTTCCGTCGTGGACTGCGAAATTGTCAGCCCCAATCTCTTCTCACGATGCAAAGGGACTCTCTGCCGCCAATTTCGCCGTCGACGTGTACGCCAAAATTGATGATTCATTCGATTAAACCCACCAGATGGCAATGCATTCAACGTTGTCTATCCTGAACGCTCTCTCCAAAGGTTGCCAATTCAGAAGCTGTCCTCATATTATCAAACAAACAGGCCCTGCGACTGCATCACACAACCAAAAAACACCCATAACAAAATATACACATTTACCGACTTCATTTGCAGCATTCAATTATCCCGAGAAAGACAGCATGGCCATACATTTCTCTAAACATTTGATTACTGAGACCCGTGCGAAGCCGGTTAACTTAGCTAGTAGTCTCTAAGGCTAAAGCAGGGAATCTGTGTTTGCGTGTGTGTTTGTGTGTGTACACTCAGGCTGTGAACAGCTATTTGAGAGACCAGTGGTACCATTCCCTGCAATGGAAGGTAAGTGAACTGGTGAATGAACACACGCGCACACACACACGATTCGCAATGTCCCCTTCACATATTCTTCTGTCCACACAAAAAAATGGCGCATTATTTCCTACACGACCCATCGGCCGCACGGCCTTCTGGGAGCGAGTCATTGGGGCAGCAGCTTTCATTCAAGACAGGCAACAATCCTGGACCGTTAAATTTCGATTTAAAGCTTTCGTGACTGCAGGGATTCATCTTGGTTCTTTCGGTAAAGTCACATAGAAGGGAAATAATAAAATAATAAAAAATTTAAATAAAACATAATAAAATAATTCTCACGACGTTTCGGCCACAACGCAAGCAGCCGTCCTCAGGTGAAGACCAGGTCTGTCGGGGAGACGCTGTCTCCCCAACAGACCTGGCTCCTTGCGTTGTGGCCGAAACGTCGTGAGAATTATTTTATTATGTTTTATTTTTATTATTTTATTATTTCCCTTCTACGTGACTTTACCGAAAGAACCAAGAAGGGATCATAATCATAATTACCATCATGAGTCATCCATCGTAATAATCGTTGATGACGAATCCATGGTGATGATGATGATGATGTTGATCATGAATGATGACTGATGATGACTATGTCTTGCTCATTATGATTATAACAACAAAGATGCCGTGTTACTGTTGGCGATGATGAGATGGACTACTGCTGCTGATTCTGCCGATGATTCTGGTTATGCCGATTCTGCAGAAGAGGATGCGTCATTATCACTTGCTATTGCTGCTGATGATGATGCTGATGATGATGCTGATGATGATACTGATGATGCTGATGATGATGCTGACACTGCTGATGCTGATGATGCTGATGATGCTGATGATGATGCTGATGATGATGCTAGAGCTGCTGATGATGTGGGATAAGAAGATGGGCGAATAACTCTCGCTGCTGCTGGCAATGCTGCTACTGATACTGCTGATGCTGCTGATGATGATGATGCTGCTCATGTCGATGATGATGCTACTGCTGATACTGCCAATAATGATGCTGCTGCCCATGCTGTTGATGCTGTTGATGATGCTGATTCCGTAGAAGAAGATGAGCGACTACCGCTCGGTTCTGGGTGAAGTGAGGTGGCTGATGATGATGATGATGGCACTGATGATGATTCTGATGATGACAATGCTGATGACGATGATGCTGATGATGATAATGACACTGATGATGATTGTGATGATGACAATGCTGATGACGATGATGCTGATGACGACGCTGATGACGACGATGATGCTGATGACGATCACGACGCCACTGATAACAATGATGCTGACGATGACGATGATGCTGATGAAGACGATAACGATGACGCTGATGCTGATGATGATGATGCCGACGATGACGATGACGCTGACGCTGACGATGACGCTGACGCTAAAGATGATGATGACGATGACGCTGATGATGATGCTAACGATGTCGATGACGCTAACGATGATGATAATGCTACCGATGACGCTGACGATGACGATGACGCTAACGATGACGATGATGATGATGACGATGATGATAACGATGTCGATGACGCTAACGATGACGCTAACGATAACGCTATCGATGACGATGATGATGATGACGATGATGATAACGATGTCGATGACGCTAACGATGACGCTAACGATGACGCTAACGATGACGATGATGATGATGACGATGATGATAACGATGTCGATGACGCTATCGATGACGCTGACGATTCCTGCAGAAGAAGATGAGCGACTACCGCTCGCTGCTGGGCGGCGCGAGGCGTCTCTCCGTGGTGCTGCACGAGGTGCGCGCCATGGTGGACGCCACGCTCTGCTCGCCCTTGCAGGACGACGCCATCAGCCAGGTCCCGCTGCACATCGTCTCCGCCACCTTCCTGCAGGTGCCGCACGCCACGCGGGAGCATCCGCGTCGCCAATGTCGGCATGTGCAGCAGCGGCGGCAGCAGCATCATCATCATCAGCAGCAGCATCATCAGCAGCAGCATCAGCAGCAGTAGCAGCAGCATCATCATCATCATCAGCAGCAGCATCAGCATCATCAGCAGCATCATCAGCAGCAGCAGTAGCATCATCACCAGCAGCAGCCGCGGCAGCAGCAGCATCAGTAGCAGCAGCAGCATCATCATCAGCAGCAGTAGCAGCATCATCATTATCAGCAGCATCAGCAGCAGCAGTAGCAGCATCATCATCTGCAGCAGCGGCAGCAGCAGCAGCATCATCAGCAGCAGTAGCAGCAGCAGCAGCAGCATCATCAGCAGCAGCATCATCAGCAGCATCAGCAGCAGTAGCAGCATCAGTAGCAGCAGCATCATCATCATCAGTCGCATCAGCAGCACCATCATTAGCAGCAGCATCATCATCTGCAGCAGCGTCAGCAGCAGCATCATCATCAGCAGCAGCATCATCAGCATCAGCAGCATCAGCAGCAGCAGCAGCATCATCAGCAGCAGCATCAGCAGCAGCATCAGCATCAGCAGCAGCATCAGCAGCAGTAGCAGAATCAGTAGCAGCAGCAGCATCATTAGAAGCAGCATCATCAGCATTATCAGCAGCAGTAGCAGCAGCATCTTCATCAGCAGCAGGATCAGCAGCAGAGCGTCATCAGCAGCAGTAGCAGCATCATCAGCAGCAGCATCAGCAGCAGCATCAGCAGCAGTAGCAGCATCAGTAGCAGCAGCAACATCATTAGAAGCAGCATCATCAGCATTATCAGCAGCAGTAGCAGCATCATCATCAGCAGCAGCAGCAGTTGCAGCCGCATCATCAGCAGCAGCATCATTCGAAGCAGCAGTATCATCAGCAGCAGCATCATTCGAAGCAGCAGCGTCAGCAGCAGCATCATCAGCAGCAGCAGCATCAGCAGCAGTAGCATCAGCGGCAGCATCTTTAGCATCATCATCAGTATCAGCAGCAGCATCAGCAGCATCATGATCAGCAGTAGCATCAGCAGCAGATTCATTAGCAGCAGCGTCATCAGTAGTAGCATTATCATCAGCAGTAACATCAGCAGCAACATCATCAGCATGAGCAGCAGCATGATTGTTATTGGCAGCGTCATTAGCATCAACAATTGATCATCAGTAACATTGCAGCAGCATCACCATCGTTAGCTTCATCATCAGCACCTTCACTGCTATTTGCTCCACAATTTATTTAGCATTCGCTTAATGTGCATCATCATTGGCAGTATTATCGTCAGCGTCATTGTCGTTATCATCAGCATCAGCAGCGTCATCGTAATCAACAGGATCATCATTTAGCAGTAGTATCAGCATCATGTGTAAAATAGTTATCATCATCATGATGAGCATTATTGCCATCATTATCATCATCAGCATCACCATCATTGTCATTCACATCATCACCATCACCACTGCTATTTTCACCACCATCATCATCAGTGGCATCATCATCACATTCGGCAGTAAGATCGTCAGCAGCATTGTCACCTGCAGCATCATCATCATCATCAGCAGTATCAGCAGCATCAGCAGAAATGCAAGGATTGTGAGCAGTGCGAGAAAAATCCGTAGTAGTATCAGCATCATGTGTAAAATAACTATCATCATCATGATGAGCATCATTGCCATAATTATCATCATCAGCACCACCATCATTGTCATTCACATCATCACCATCACCACTGCTATTTTCACCACCATCATCATCAGTGGCATCATCATCACATTCGGCAGTAAGATCGTCAGCAGCATTGTCACCTGCAGCATCATCATCATCATCAGCAGTAGCAGCAGCATCAGCAGAAATGCAAGGATCGTGAGCAGTGCGAGAAAAATCCGTAGTAGTATCAGCATCATGTGTAAAATAACTATCATCATCATGATGAGCATCATTGCCATCATTATCATCATCAGCACCACCATCATTGTCATTCACATCATCACCATCACCACTGCTATTTTCACCACCATCATCATCAGTGGCATCATCATCACATTCGGCAGTAAGATCGTCAGCAGCATTGTCACCTGCAGCATCATCATCATCATCAGCAGTAGCAGCAGCATCAGCAGAAATGCAAGGATTGTGAGCAGTGCGAGAAAAATCCGACATGAGCGTTGCGTCCTTGATTTGTGTCCACATCTTGTCGCGGGAGCAGCGGTGCTGAGAATACAAATGAAGTCAAAATAATTCACGACATCAATGCTAAACGAACACAAGGGCAAAGATCCCCCGTGTAGCCTTCAACAGACTTTTGGGGCAAGTGTTGTCAGCCAACACCTGTTCACACACACACAGACAAAAAGACAAAGATCCCCCGTGTAGCCTTAACAGAATGTAGGGGCAAGTGTTGTTTAGCGCATAGCACCTATGAAGGCCGGCACGGCACACGAGGGGGTGGGTGGCCAGCACCACGCCCGGCCGCCTTTGTCTCCCCACACACTCACGCACACATAGAGGAGGAGGTGGGGAGGATGGGGGGGGGGGGGTGAGAGTTGGTGGCTAATGTCTTGTTGAGCCTAGAGGATGCGGATTGAAATTCCGCCCGTGTCCGTGTGTGTCTGTGTGTGTGTCTGTGTGTGTGTCTGTGTGTGTCTGCGTGTGTGTCTGTGTGTGTGTCTGCGTGTGTGTCTGTGTGTGTGTCTGTGTGTGTCTGTGTGTGTGTCTGTGTGTGTCTGCGTGTGTGTCTGTGTGTGTGTCTGCGTGTGTGTCTGTGTGTGTGTCTGTGTGTGTCTGTGTGTGTGTGTCTGTGTGTCTTTGTGTATGTGTCTGTGTGTGTGTGTGTCTGTCTGTGTGTGTGTGTGGGGAGCGATAGTGTAGCGGTTAGCACGCTGCGCTACGAACCCGGCGACATGGGTTCGATTCCCGCTCACGGCCAACACCAGTGACGATTATCTGAACCGGTCCCGGGCCTCCCCTAGGTCGACTCAGCCTCAAATGAGTACCTGGTGTGGTGTGTAAACATCGTCACCAGGGAGACAAAGGCGGTCGGGCGTGGTGCTGGCCACCCACCCCCTCGTGTACCGTTCCGGCCTTCATAGGTGCTCGCTAACAGCACTTGCCCCTACAGTCTGTAGGCTATACGGGGGATCTTTGTTGATCTTTGTGTCTGTGTGTGTGTGTGTCTGTGTGTCTTTGTCTTTGTGTGTGTGTGTGTCTGCGTGTGTGTCTGCGTGTGTGTCTGCGTGTGTGTCTGTGTGTCTTTGTGCATGTGTCTGTGTGTGTCTGTCTGTGTGTGTCTGTGTGTGTGTCTGTGTGTCTGTGTGTGTGTTTGTTTGTGTGTCTGTGTGTGTCTGTTCGTTTGTAGCTACGTCCACGTACCCATCCATCCATTTTGACTGCTGCTGCTGCCGCTGATGATAGTCATAATACCGATCATGCTCCTGCTGATGATGATGATAGTTATAATATCGATCATGCTGCTGATGATGATGATAGTCATAATACCGATCATGCTGCTGATGATGATGATGATAGTTTTAATACCGATCATGCTGCTGCTGCTGATGATGATTATAATAATCATTATCATTCTGCTGCTGTTGCTTCTTCTCATGCTGCTTTTGTCTTTGGTGCTGCTGCTCATTCTGCTGCTGCTGCTTCCGCTGTGGCTTCCGTTGTTGCTGATACTGCTGCTGATACTGCTGCTGATAATTCTGCTGCTGATGCTGGTGGTGATTTTGCTACTGCTGCTGCCTACTTTGTGTCTTCTGTTGCTGATGCTGTTGCTGCTGATGCTGTTGTTGCTGCTATGCCGCGAACTGATTGCATCAACCTATGGTGGTAACCAAGGCAGCAGCAGCAGCAGCAATCTGTGAACGTGCAGTGGAGGTGCCGTGTGTGCGTGCGGGGAGCGGTGGCGAAGCGGTTAGCGCTACGCTGCACTACGAACCCGGCGACCCGGGTTCGATTCCCGCTCACGGCCACCGCCAACACCGTTGACGATTATCCGAACCGGTCCTGGGCCTTCTTATTATCTCTGCATGTGAATTTATGATTGCGTGTGTGTGTGCGTACGTGTGCGTATGTACTTTTGGGGAGCGGTGGTGTAGCGGTTACGCGCTAGGAATCCGGCGACCCGAGTTCGATTCCCGCTCGCGGCCAACACCAGTGACGATTATCTGAACCGGTCCCGGGCCTCCCCTAGGTCGACTCAGCCTCGAATTAGTACCTGGGTGCGGTGTGTGGCAAACATCGCCACTGGGGGGAGACAAAGGCGGTCGGGGCGGGGTTGCTCGCCAACCCAACGCCTCGCGTGCCGTGCCGGCATTGATCGGCGCTGCTCGCGAACAGCACTTGCTCCGACAGTCTGACGAGGCTACGCGGGGGAGCTTTGTGTGTGTGTGTGCGAGCGAGTGGCCTCTTAATAGGAGTCGATGCACTGATCACGTGAGAACGCACGAACACACTCAACCGCCACTAGCACACGCACGATGGTTTGCACACGCGTGTGCTACGCGCTTGCGTGCGTGTGCGTGTAGCGGTTAGCGCGCTGCGCTACGAACCTGGCGACATGGGTTCGATTCTCGCCCACGGCCAACACCGGTGACGATTATCTGAACCGGTCCCGGGCCTCCCCTAGGTCGACTCAGCCTCAAATGAGTACCTGGTGTGGTGTGTAAACATCGTTACCAGGGAGACAAAGGCGGTCGGGCGTGGTGCTGGCCACCCACCCCCTCTTGTACCGTTCCGGCCTTCATAGGTGCTCGCTAACAGCACTTGCCCCTACAGTCTGTTAAGGCTATATGGGGGATCTTTGTATCTTTGTTGTGCGTGACCACACAGACACATTGGTAGGCGCGTAGATGCACGTGATTCGTGTATACCTGGTGCGATGCGTCAATATCGCCACTGGGGAGACAAAGGCGGCCGGGCGTGGTGCTGGCCACCCACTCCCTCGTGTGCCGTGCCGGCCTTCATAGGCGCTACACACTAATAGCACTTGCCCCAACATTCTGTTAAGGCTTTATGGGGGATCTTTGTCTTTGTTGTGAGTGTGTGTATATGTGTGTGTATGTGCGTGCGTATGTGCGTGCGTGCGTGTGTGCGTGCGCGCGTGTGTATGTGCGTGTATGTGTGTGTATGTGCGTGTATGTATGTGTGTGTATGTGTGTCTGTCTATCAGCAGAGGTCTCACTCCGAATCAGTCGAGCGGCAATATCTTTTCATCGGTTGCGTAACGCTGTGTGGAAGCTACCTGGTCTGTCGCTCCGCACGAAGCTTCAGGTCTTCTCGGCCACCGTCATTCCCTCCCTTCTCTACGCTTGCGAGACGTGGACCCCCCTGGTGGAGCATCTTCGCCGGTTGGAAACATTTAGGCTGGCCTGCCTACGATCCATCCTGGGTTTAACCAGGCTGGATTGTGTGAGGAGCTCACAAATCCTTGAAAGATCTGGGCAAAGTCCCATCAGTGAGCCCCTCCGGCAGGCAAGGCTGCGTTGGCTGGGTCATGTAGCCCGCATGCCCAGCCACCGCATGCCTAAACAGCTTTTGTTCGGCCGGATCGAGGGGGCTAGACGGGCGCGGCACGGGCTGGAGAAGAGATGGAGTGATGTGGTACAGGAGGACGTGGAGCTGAGTGGACTTGCCGATGACTGGTACCAGCGGTGTCAAGATCGGCCTCAGTGGAGGAGGCTCGTGAAGGACGCTACTGGGCAGTTGGAGGCAGTCGCCCTCCAACAACAACGGAGGGCGGAGGAGCGACGCTCACAACAACGAGCGGAGCGCCGGGTGGCTAAAGCACAGCAAGTTGGCACAGTAGGGGGCACAGGTGGTGCATCAGCCAGTCATCTCGGTCATCTCGGTCAGTCGACCAGTGGCACCTGGGTCTGCCCCGTGACCTCCTGCCAGCGGGCTTTCGACACTTCACGTGGCCTCAAGGTGCACTTGGCCTGGCACAAGCATCGTGGTGACGTCACCGCCACTTAGTGGCGAATGGCGGTTGTTGTTGTTGTTGTGTGCGCGCGCGTGCGTGTGTATGTGTGTGTGTGCGCGCGTGTGCGCGTGTGTGTGTGTATGTGTGTGTATATGTGTATGTGTGTGTATGTGCGTGTGCCCTCGTCGTGTTTAAACCAAGTTCTCAAATGCGGCGAGTTGGATGGTCTCAGCCCCGTTGCAAATGAGAGGGCTCAAACGCACCCATCGCGTGACACGTGGTTTTGCACACTTTGCTTGGGCTGCATTCCAACGGTGTAGAATTCAAAGTCGCGAACACAGCGGTGGAGATGACCCCCCCTTCCCCACGTAGCCCTGAGCAGTCGGTCGTGGCAAGTGCTGTTAGCGAGCAGCAACAGCAGCAGCGATGCATGCTGGCTGATCTCATGAATTGTGGGCTGTCTTTCTTTGTTGTGGTTGTCGTTGTCTCTTTTTAGAATTCACACCTCACCACCAACGAGATCGATGACATTATTCTGGTAAGAATTTCTATGTTTATTTAAAGATAACAACGTGACGTCCTTAACCTCTCTCTCTCTCTCTCTGAGTCGTCCTCTCTCTCTCTCTCTCTGAGTCATCCTCTCTCTCTGAGTCGCCCTCTCTCTCTCTCTGAATTGTCCTTTCTATTTCTGAGTCGTCCTCTCTCTTTCTGAGTCGCTCTCTCTCTCTGAGTCGTCATCTCTCTTTCTCTCTGAGTTGTCCTCTCTCTCTGAGTCGTCCTCTCTCTCTCTGAGTCGCCCTCTATCTCTCTGAGTCGTCATCTCTCTCTGAGTCGTCCTCTCTCTCTGAGTCGTCCTCTCTCTCTCAGAGTCGTCCTCTCTCTCTCTGAGTCGTCCTCTCTATCTGAGTCGTCCTCTCTCTCTGAGTCGTCCTCTCTCTCCGAGTCGTCCTCTCTCCCCGAGTCGTCCTCTCTCTCCGAGTCGTCCTCTCTCTCCGAGTCGTCCTCTCTCTGAGTCGTCCTCTCTCTCTGAGTCGTCCTCTCTCTCTCTGAGTCGTCCTCTCTCTCTCTGAGTCGTCCTCTCTCTCTCTCCGAGTCGTCCTCTCTCTCTCTGAGTCGTCTTCTCTTTAAGTCGTCCTTTCTCTCTCTGAGTCGTCATCTCTCTCTCTCTGAGTCGCCCTCTATCTCTGAGTCGTCCTCTCTCTCTGAGTCGTCCTCTCTCTCTCTGAGTCGTCCTCTTTCTCTCTGAGTCGTCCTCTCTTCCTCTCTCCGAGAGCGATGAGTGGATAATGTGCGGTGGCGGCGACTCTGTAGCGTTACAAGTTGAAGGTTTTGTTTTTACGGCTCACGTGACATTTAATTTGAAATGGAGAAATTCACTCTTTTGTATTTGTTTCCTTTTCCCCACGATTCCACGCACGCAATGACACACACACACATACACTCACCACACTCACCACTGACCACACGCACACTCAACCCACTCACTCTCGCCACACACACACATACATACACTCACCACACTCACCACTGACCACACGCACACTCAACACACTCACTCTCGCCACACTCACCACTCACCACACATACCACTCACCACATGGACACTCACCACACTCATCACACTCACCACACTCACCACACAGGCAATTGCTCCACTGCTGGACAATAACCATCCCTCTCCCGCTCTCTGTGACTTCTTTTGCAAGGTAAGAGGTGGTGGGGGGGGGGGGGGTCAGCTACTGGGGGGCTCTGGCTCTGTGACCCCTGTGAGTGTTGTGGTTGACCTCTGTGAGTGTTGTGGTTGACCCCTGTGAGTGTTGTGGTTGACCTCTGTGAGTTGTGGTTGACCTCTGTGAGTGTTGTGGTTGACCCCGTGGATGTTGTAGTTGACCCCTGTGAGTGTTGTAGTTGACCCCTGTGAGTGTTGTGGTTGACCTCTGTGAGTTGTGGTTGACCTCTGTGAGTGTTGTGGTTGACCCCGTGGATGTTGTAGTTGACCCCTGTGAGTGTTGTGGTTGACCCCTATGAGTGTTGTAGTTGACCCCTGTGAGTGCTGTGGTTAACCCCTGTGAGTGTTGTGGTTAACCCTGTGTGCGGAGCGTTGTGGTTGACCCGTGTGCCCGTGCGTGTTGTGGCCAGCACTGCGTGGCGTGCCCGCGGTCGAAGGTCGTCACTGAGGTCTTCACCCCAGTCGTGCAGAGAATCCTCAAGCACAACGTGGTGAGTGAGGGAGCAAGCGACTGAGCTGGTTGGCTCGTGAGCAAGCGAGTGAGTGATGGAATGACTGAGCGAGCAACTGAGCGATTCAGCGAGGAACTGAGCGATTGAGCGAGGAACTGAGCGACCGAGCGAGCATCTGAGCGATTGAGCGAGCAACTAAGCGATTGAGCGAGCGATCGAGCAGGGAACTGAGCGACCGAGCGAGCATCTGAGCGATTGAGCGAGCAACTAAGCGATTGAGCAGGGAATTGAGCGATCGAGTGAGCAACTGAGCGATTGACCGAGCGATCGAGCGAGGAATTGAGTGACCGAGCGAGCAACTGAGCGATTGAGCGAGCGATCGAGCAGGGAACTGAGCGACCGAGCGAGCATCTGAGCGATTGAGCGAGCAACTAAGCGATCGAGCAGGGAATTGAGCGATCGAGTGAGCAACTGAGCGATTGACCGAGCGATCGAGCGAGGAATTGAGTGACCGAGCGAGCAACTGAGCGATTGAGCGAGGAATTGAGTGACCGAGCGAGCAACTGAGCGATTGAGCGAGCGATCGAGCGAGGAATTGAGTGATCGAGCGAGCATCTGAGCGATTGTGCGAGGAATTGAGCGAGCGAGCACTCGAGCGAGGAATTGAGTGAGCAAGCGAGCAAGCAATCGAGTGAATGAGCTTTGAGCCATCGGGCGATCGGGCGAGCGAGCGATCGAGCCATTGAGAGAGCGGTGGAGCGAGCGTGCGATTAAGCGGTGGAGCGAGCAGTCGAGCGATGGAGCGAACGAGCGAGTGGTGGATTCTTTGAGCGTGGCGAGCGAGCGAGCGAGAATGTTGTTGTCGCTGCAAGGGAAGAGCTGCTCGTGTGGTGATGGCGATTATTACGACTGATAACGTCGGTGGTGATGATGGTGAATTCATAAGCACCAACAACTACAGTGCGTGCGTGTGCACACGTATGTGTGTGTGTCTGTGTGTGTGTGTTCGTGTGCGTGTGTAGTGGTTAGCGGTAGCGTAGCGGTTAGCGCGCCCTGCTATGAATCCGGCAACCCCGGTTTCGATTCCCGCTCACGGCGAACACCGGTAACGATGATCTGAACCGGTCCCGGGCCTCCCCTAGGTCGACTCAGCCTCAAACGAGTACCTGATGCGATGTGTAAACATCGCCGCTAGGGAGACAAAGGCGGCCGGGCGTGGTGCTGGCCACCCACCCCCTCGTGTGCCGTTCCGGCCTTCATACGTGCTCGCTAACAGCACTTGCCCCTACAGTCTGTTAAGGCTACACGGGGGACCTTTGTCTTTGTGTGTGTGCGTGTGCGTAGGACTTCCTCAAGAGCCCGTGCCTGCGCCTCTTCACGCAGGAGTTCCTCCTCGCTCTCAACGAGCTCAACGGCGGCGCGGCCGTCGTGCGCCGCTTCGTGCAGAGGTAACGCGTCGCCCCCCCCCCGCCCCTCATCCTCCACTCTGCCCCCCCCTTCCTCCCCGCCCCCCCCGTCCCGTCACGTTCTCTCCCCCCCCCCCCCCCCGCTCTTCCCCCACCTCCGACTCGGCTGCCCCCCACTCATCCGGGACCCTCAGAGCCCAGGGTATCGGGGCAGCAGTCACTAGGCCAGGCAGGCTCGCAAGAAGCTTTCTGCCAACTTGGTTTATTTCTAGTGCTCGTTGTTGTTGTTGTTTATGACTTGTCATTCCTTTTGGTTGTGGTGGTGGTGGTGGTAGTGGTAGTGGTGGAGGCGGCGGTGGTAGCGGTCGTGATAGCGGTGTTGGTGATGGTGGTGGTGGTGGCGGTGGTGGTGGCGGTGGTGGTAGCAGCGGTGTTGGCGATGGTGATGGTGGTAGTGGTAGCGGTGGTGGTAGTAGTAGTGTTGGCGATGGTGGTGGTAACGGTAGTGGTGGTGGAGGCGGCGGTGGTGGTAGTGGAGGCGGCGGTGGTGGTGGCGGTGGTAGTGGTGGAGGTGGCGGTGGCGGTGGTGGTGGTGGCGGTGGTAGTGGTGGAGGTGGTAGTAGTGGTGGAGGCGGCGGTGGTGGTGGAGGCGGCGGTGGTGGTGGCGGTGGTAGTGGTGGAGGTGGTAGTAGTGGTGGAGGCGGCGGTGGAGGCGTCGGTGGTGGTGGAGGCGGCAGTGGTGGTGGCGGTGGTAGTGGTGGAGGTGGTGGTAACGGTAGTGGTGGTGGTGGCGGCGGTAGTGGCGGCAATCCAGCGCGAGGGTTGGCGGATCACCGCACGAATGTTGTGAAACTCCCTTCCCCGTGAGTGAGCGTCGTGGTCGAGGACGAGGAGGAGGCGGAGGGAGCCGTACCCCCGGGTTACGCTGACGAGTGAGCGGAATGTTTCTGGCGTCGTTTGGCCGTGCGTCACCATTGGGTGGCAGACGTCCACAGCGCTGTCGGAAGTCTCTACGCCGGCGAGGAATGCGATGAGCTATGAAGCCCGGTAGCAGAGGTCGCAACCGGGTACCCGATACCCGTACCCTACCCGATACCCGGCTACTCGTACCCGGCCGGGTACGGGTACGGGTACCCGTTTGCGACCTTGGTGCGGCCGAGTACGGGTACGGGTAGGGTAGGCCGTGAGTCACTGGTGAGTCACCGTTTGTCACTCATTTCCCAACGTCTTGTCTCTTCTCACAGTTCAAATTTCTAGAATCAACCCACCCGCGCCTGCAACATGGCTTCATCGCAGAGGTCGCAATCAGGTACCCGATACCCGTACCCTACCCGTACCCGGTCGGGTACGGGTAGGGTACGGGTACGGCCGGGTACGGGTACGGGTACCCGTTTAAGACCCTGGTGCGGCCGGGATACGGGTAAGGAATCAAAACCCGTTTGCGACCTCTGCCCGGTAGGCCACCGACGCTTCTGGACATTTATTTGGTGACTGCCAGGGGGGAGCCACGGTGTGGCGAGGGGGCAGCCGTGAGGGTTGGCGAGCCACCGTTGGCATAACATCGGTGGTTCGTGATGCTTCGTGTAATTTTTTTTCCGGGGCTAAACTTTCAAAAAAAGTTCATTAATGTTTTTTTTTTTACTGTGCCCCCACCGCTTTTTCCTTAGTTTAAAAAAACAAAACTAAAACTTAAAATGTGAGAATTCGTCTGTAACGGCGAAACATAAATAAATAAACAACGGCATTGCGCAGAGTCTGGATTCGGTCAAATTGCCAAAAATGTGCGCGAGCTATAATTATTTAAACAAATAAATAACGGGCCGAAGCTCGCTTCCACATGCGTGAAAACGCACGCACGATGTGTGCACGCGCGCGCGTGAGTGTGTGTGCGCGTGCGTGAGTGTGTGCGTGCGTGAGTGTGTGCGTGAGTGTGTGCGTTAGTATGTGCACGCGCGTGCGTGAGTGTGTGCGTGAGTGTGTGCACGCGCGTGAGTGAGTGTGTGTGTGTGCGCGTGTGTGGGGAGCGGTGGTGTAGCGGTTAGCGAGCTGCGCTATGAACCTGGCGACCCGGGTTCGATTCCCGCTCACGGACAACACCAGTGGTGATGATATCAACCGGTGCTGGGCCTCCCCTAGGTCGACTCGGCCTCAAATGAGTACCTGGTGTGATGTGTAAACATCGTCGCTAGGGAGGCAAAGGCGACCGGGCGTGGTGTTGGCCACCCACCCCCTCGTGTGCCGTGCCGGCCTTTATAGGTGCTCGCTAACAGCACTTGCCCCTACAGTCTGTCAAGGCTATATGGGGGATCTTTATCTTTGTGCGCGCGTCCACCTACGCCGCTCGTTGCAGGAGCTTCGCGGTTCGAACCCCGGCGGCCGCCCCGGTTAATACCGCGGCGGAGAATTGGCCTCTTATGTATCTCGATACAGTGTATCTCTATGGCTCTATGTGCATCTCTATGTGTCGTGTCGCTGTTCCTCCTCCTCCTGTTCAAGGTGCGCAGACTGCCGCAGCGGGGTTACTGCACCGCCCGTAGTTTGGGGTACATGGCCACGATCGCGCTACCCTGGCTTGCGCTAGATATCTCTATGGGCCCGTACGCATCTCCGTGGGTCTCTATGAATCTGTGTATCTCTGTGTCTCTATGGATTGGCTTTGTGGTCCAAAGTTAATCGGATTGCATCGGCACGGTCGCACTCTGGATTGCCTCTAATGCATCTCTGTGAGTCTCGATACGGTATATCTCTATGGGTCTCTATGTATCTCTATGAATCTCGATGAGCCTCTGTGGGTTTACCGCACTGATTGTGGTTTGGGTTGCACGTCCCTCAGCCGCACTACTGCGTCCTGTCTTTAATGCATCTCTATGAGTCTCTGCGTACCTCTATGGGTCTCAATGTCTCACTCCGAGTCTCTGTGAATCTCTGCGTGTCCTTTACGGGTTCTACGACGAACGGTCAGAGTTTATTGGCCGGGCAGTACAGCAAGCGGGTCCCGTGAACTCATCCACGCGTTTTCTCCGGGATCTCCAGTTCTTCCCACACGAAGTTAACCTCTCGCTGTTATTATTTTTGTTATTTTAATAAAAATAGGAATTGGCCAAACGTCCCAGCGCGGCGGCTTTCCTGAGTAAATAGAGGACGTGAATACATACATATATTTTTATATTTTTATCAGAGCCAACCACAGGACTCCAAACAGTAACGTTTCTGCATCTGGCAAACGTTACGTGATGCGAGTGCGAGTTCGGGAGCGGTGGCGCAGCGGTTAGCGCACCGCACTACGAACCCCGCGTCCCCCAAGTTCAATTCCCAGACACGGCACCTCACGGGTTTGACGGTCCCTCCTCCTCCCCCCTTCTCCCTCCTCACTCCTCCCCCCCTCCTCCCCTCCTCCTTCCTACCCCTCTTCCCCCCTCCCTCCCCCCTCCTACCCCCTCCTCCCTCCTCCCCTTCCCCCTTCCCCCCTCCTCCCTCCTCCTCCTACCCCCTCCTCCCTCCTCCCCCTTCTTCCCTCCTCCTTCCTACCCCTACCCCTCTTCCCCCCTCCCCCCCCTCCTCCCCCCTCCTACCCCCTCCTCCCCCTTCCCCCCTCCTCCCTCCTCCCCCTGCCCCCTCCTCTTTCAACCCTCCTCCCCCTCCTGCCTTCTTTAGGTCTCCCCTAGGTCGCCTCATCCTGCATAGCATTTGGGTGCCACGGTGGCTAGGAGATGTTAACAACCTCGCCTGGTGTATACGGGAGTTTGTGGGTTCGATCCCGACCCTGACGCCTGCTGCTGTATATTTGGAGTTTGCGTGTCTCTCTCTCTCTTTCTCTCTCCGTGGTCGTGTGGATTTGTCTCCAGGTCCTCCGGTTTTTCCCTACACATTTAGAATCAACGCCACCACGCGTTTAGAGTATTTGGCTCCTGCTAGACATGTCCACGTGATAAGCCACTTCGTTGGGCTATCATTAGTGATGGCGAGGTCGCTTCTGATAAAGAGCTAGAAGGCTGCTCCGGGGAAGTGTGGGAGAAAAAAGAAATCCACAGTTGTACTGCACTCCTTTCCGCAACTCTACGGCTTCCCCAGCATCCTCCAACCCGCGTCACCCGGCCAACGAACCGTCTCAACCGTAGCGGCGCCTTCCTGACGTCAGCGTCTTGAGGGATCGGTGAGACTTCCTGGATAAATACATTTGACATCATCATCATCATATTATTTAAAATACTTCTACTAATAATAATGATCGGCAACGACAACAACAACGACGACGGCGACGAGATGTTATGCGTCCAGCTTTTAAACTCGGCTCCGCTGTAAAGTTCCACGGACAGAAAACAAAAGCAAAGGTAAAGGCGCAGCCTCCTTGCAATTGACCGCTCACCGCCGCGGCCGCCGAAAACTTCAAACCCCGCACGCTACAGGCATCGTCGGGGGGGGGGGGGGAGTAGCCTGCGATCGAACCCACGAGCGGGAACAGCGTCTCCTCGCGCACCGGGGCGTCTTGCACTCGAGCGTCTGCCAGAGGTCGCAAACGGGTTTTGATTCCTTACCCGTAACCGGCCGCACCAGGGTCGCAAATGAGTACCCGTACCCTACCCGATACCTGGCTACCCGTACCCGGCCGGGTATCGGGTAGGGTACGGGTACCCGATTGCGACCTCTGGGATGAAGCCATGTTGCAGGCGCGGGTGGGTTGATTCCAGGAACTTGAATTGTGAGAAGAGACAAGACGTTGGGAAATGAGTGACAAACAGTTACTCACCAGTGACTCACGGTCTACCCGTACCCGTACCTGGCCGCACCAGGGTACGGGTATCGGGTACCCGGTTGCGACCTCTGGCGTCTGCCGACTGAAGAGCTTCGCTGCTCGTCGGATTTCTCGCCAGGGCCCGAGCGAAGATTCCGATTTTGGACTTCCCGCAAGCGCCGCGCTCGAAGCCGTCTCGCGCCTCCCCGGCGGCTCGGTGACGCGCGCGCGAAGCCGTGAGCGCGTTTGTGCACCTGCTAAACGATGCCTCTATTACGATTTTTTTTATATTTTGCGAAGAATGCGGAGA